AAGGGGGGGGGGGCAAAATGGGCCCCTTAAGAAAAAAATGTTGATATCCTTAGTGTTTTTCTCTGGTTTTACTTTTTTTTAGTCCCTTGCCAAGTATTTGATCTCAATTTGCTCTGTTCATTAAAAATAAAAAAATTGAAAATGTGGGGCAAAATGGGCCACCTTCAGAAAATTTTTATAATATGAGTTTTTCAGCTCATTTTACTTTTTCTGGCCTTTTACTGAATTTATGGTGTTAATTTTTTGTGTGCATCGAAATTAAAAAATTGAGAAAAGTGGGGTAAAATGGGCCCCCCCAAAAAACGCAATTTGTTTCTTACTTGTTTTATATTTTGAATTTTTTTTTATTATGTATTCAGTATAAAAAATTAGGATAACAGTAGATCCTAAAAGCCATCCCTGCAACTTCCCGCTAACTCCATACCTAAGCGCTCCATATTTCACGCCAAAAGCAATAAAAAATTAGGTAAAAAATGTCGGAGTAATTTCAAAAAAACGCGTTTTTTTAATTATTTCGACAACGGTATCTCTCAAACTAATCAACCAATTTCAATCGCGTTAACGGCGATCAACGCGGGTTTCCAAGCTTAAAAACCGATCAGTTTTTAGAATCGATTGGTGAAGCCAATAAAAATGTACCACAAAAAATACAATTTTTTAGAATTTTTTTGACAACGATATCTCACAAATGAATTAACCGATTTAAAAACTTAAAGGTATTCTATGCAGTCTTTCTAGAACAAAATAGTATATTACGGACCTAGGGAGGAAAGTAGGACACCTCAACCCGCGCAATATTGTCACCTGAGCCTTTGGCTATCCTCCCGTGGTGCGTATACGATTTTTTATCAGACCAGGATCGAAAATTCGATTAAAATCCAAATAATAAAGTTAGATATTGAATCAGGTTAGTTATCATTAGTGCGCATGCTTCGATTTCTTAAATTTGATGTTCAGTTTTCTTTACTACGTAACTAGACATTAAGTTGTTTATTTATTTATTTATAAAAATTTGCAAACATATTAGCCGATCGCGATAATATCAACTTACATTTGTAATTAAAACCAGAGTGTAAATTTGTGAAACTTGATAAAGTATTTAAATAAAATGAGTTCTGATGAATCGGGAGCTGAATTGAGTGAAGAAGAAATAATAAAAAATTTGGATGAAGCGGCAAAACAAATTAGCAATAATTTGTTGCCCGAAAAATCAAAAGTTCGTTATAACTTGTGTTATCAAGAATTTTTATTGTGGCAAAGAAAAAAGAAAACCGATTCTTTCAATGAAAATCTGTTGTTAGTTTATTTTCACGAACTATCGAAGACTTTGAAGCCGCCAACGTTGTGGAGCCAATGGTCCATGCTGAGGACTACTATAAATCTAAGAAATGGGATTGATATCAATAGCTATCATAATTTAAAAGTTTTTATTAAAAATTGTGCCAAAAGGTACCACTCTAAAAAGGCTCGTATTCTGACATTAAGTCAAGTAAACAAATTTCTCAATGATTCTGATGATTTGAATAATCTAGCGAATAAAGTAAGTAAAATATGTACAATTAACTATAATATATAAAATACATGCAATTTTTTAAATTAATATTAACAATTATTATTTACAGGTTATCTTGACATTTGGAGTTGTGGGCGCACTCAGAACCAATGAAATATGTAATCTGAATATTCAGGATGTTGAAGACACTGGAAGTCAAATGATAGTTACAATTAACGACAACAAAAATTGCTACCCTCGTAATTTTGTTATTGGAAAAGAATACTACGGTCATGTAAAGAAATATATTTCTTTGCGGCCAGATGATTTTGATAGTAGGCGTTTTTTCTTTGCTTATCATTCGGGAAAAGGTAAGGGCCAAATTATCGGGAAAAATAAAATAAGCGAAGTGCCGAGAAAAGTTGCCGAGTATTTGGAGCTAGAACATCCGGAAGCCTACACCGGTCACTGTTTTCGGCGTACAGCGGCAACGTTACTGGCAAATTCTAGTGCAAATTTAACAGCAGTAAAACAGTTGGGTGGATGGCGATCCAGTACCACAGCAGAAGGTTATATTGAACATTCTTTAGCAAACCGACGACAAATCTACCAACAAATAATTTCTTCTCACCAAGAAATTTCACCTCGTTCTACTTCCAATTGTCAAGTTCCATCTGCCACTATCACCAACGAAGCTCCATCTACCTCCACTGCCAATCAAAACAATCCAAAAACAAATTTGAATGATGATGATGTGCCCGTAGAAAATTTCTTACAGCCTGATTCCGATGATGATCTTTTTTTTGAAGCTCATTTGGATGATGATTTTGATAGTAATATAAATTTAAATCTATCTGCGATTACTGAAACTGATGATCATGTTCCAAAATCTACAGAAATTATTAGTACACCTGAGCATAAATCAGTTCCAAAAGTGGATTCAACTCAGAAATGAAAATTGAATGAAATTCGCAAAACAGCTTGTGCTGAACGCTTCAAAAAACTTAAAAAATTTCAGGCTGACTCAAAACCATCTGTGACAAAAAAATTAAAAAATGATGAAGTAGGCTCCATGACAGTAAATTCTTCATTCGTAAAAATCGAAAATTGTACTATTGGACACTTGACGATTTATAAGAATCAATGCAACTGCGACAAGATAAATAATCCTTAATTTCTATAACTATCGATAGATATTGTGTAAAAAATATTGTGTTAAATACGGTCAACACAAAATAATTGTTAGAAGAACATCAATATTTATTTGTGGATAATAGATAAACAAAAGAATAGCTTTATTTAAATTAAGTAAAAATTATTTCAATCAGTTTAACAATTTCTTGAGCTAAGAATATATACTCTTGAAAATTTTCAAGAACATAAATTCTTGTATCAAGAAAATTTTCTTAATAAAAGTAATTTTTTTTCTCAGTGTACCAGAATAACTAACAAATGAATGGACCAAATGTTCCGACTTACAATCATACGCATTTTTTTAACCAACCCCATCATACTTTTGCAGGATATTATGGTGGACCTCAATGATATCAAACTCAACAAAGCTTTGCTCTACATTATCAGAATCAATCCTATCAACAATAGCAAAATTTCAATTAAAATTGTAATAATCAATAATCATGAAAGATAATTTGATTTAATTTATTACTTTTTCATTCACGTTTTATCAATTTTATATTTTTCCATTCACTCTATTAACGTCTTAATGTCTTTTCGTTTGATTTGATTTATTTAATTTAATAAATAACCTATGACTATTTTTACCTAAAAAAAAACTATCTTATTAATATTCCTCTTATCATTATTGTTACGTGTGAGCTTACACCTGGCCTCGGTCGCGGATACCGTCAGACACCTGTATTACTGCGCTGAACTCGTATTATTCCGTGAGTGAACTAAGATTATTCCGCTTTTGAGAACTAGATGGTTATATTGTTAAGTTCCCTAGTCAGCAGAAAATAGTATCAAAACGCCAAAAGTGGTTCCCCGTACTAAAGTACTTGTTTGTTCGGTTCCCACGAGAAAGTGTCTGATTAGCACCATGTGCAAGTAGCGATTCTCAGTAACCAAAGTCAGGCTAGGAATATACAGGAAATTCGGTGTCTAATTCGCGTGGGCAAGTTGGCCCATCGATTTATAGAAATATATATGTAAATATATATATATATATATATATATATAATTTACTATAATATTGACGGGAGGGTAAGCCCACTCGTCACAATTATTATTATTTTGATATGATAGTTTTTTTTTCCTTTTGTTTTTTCATTTTTTCGCGCCCTTTCAGAAAAACATGAGTTTGAATAAAATTTTCTAAAAAAAAAAAACAAACTAGAAAGTAGAAAACAATTCTTAATTATTAAATTTTTATTTTGCACCGATAATATAAAGTTCATTAACTCTATATTTAAAGTTTGAAAGTGAACAAAGATACAAAAAACACAATACTTAACTTCAAATTTGTGATATAAAAAAATAAAAATGATTAAAACTTGTATATTGTTAATTTTTAATCCAGTTAGTAGTTTACTATAGTTATTTACCGATATTGCATGTCGTATGAGCAGCAAAAAAAAGAAAGCAATAGGATTACAATCATTTATATACTTTAACAAAAAATTATGCTAATCGTCCCTGTAGTAAATGCCAGTCTGCTGGAGCGAAACGTTGTCATTTATCAGTGAAAATGTTTTACCACACTATTATTTTATTTTTATCATTCAACTGCAACGTGTTTGCCTTTCGTATTCGTTTATTATCGATCCAAGCAGATGAACGGATTAATTTAATGGTATGTCAGAAATAGTTTTATCAGTTATAATTTTAGTGTTATTAATTTCTCAAATTAAGTTCATGCATTTTAGATTGATTTGATTGACCGTTGTCTTCCCAATGCAAAGGGAAATTTGTTAATTTCCGATTCATCAACAGATTCAATGTATAAAAACTTCTATAAACACATGATTGGATCTGTGACTTTGTTTAACGGTTCAGTGGATTATAAGAAGGAAAGAAAGACTCGAGTGTCTTTTATTATCATGATGGTATCTTCGCCGTTGAAAGTCAAAGAAGTTCTTGCTAATGATACGTGGCGAGATTTCAACCAGTTCTTCATAATCTTAGATGGTGGAGACAGTGACAATGGATGCGTCAATGCTCAGTCATTCTTGATGGAAGCTTGGAAAAACGATATACTTAATATTCTTTTTATGTGCTTGGATCAGGATGGTCAAGTTCCGAAGGTTTATAGTTTTAATCCATTTACGGACTTTGCACCAATAGGCTGGGAAAAAATGTTAGTTTTACCAGCGATTTATGACCATCCTTGGACTATGTTCGGCCAAATTTATGATCCAAGTGTGTATTTTTTTTATCATTTTATTTTAGATTAACAATATATATTTCATTTTAATCAAGTAGTTTTTGGTAGATTTCATAGAAATCTAACTATTGCATTTGTCATGACGGAATTTTTGAAAAATTTTGCGATTTTATGACTCAGCTCGTCAGCTTAGTTCACAAAACATGTTTGATTCAAAATTATGTATACATACACGATATAATGCAGCAAATGTCAAATTAAAATATAAGCAAAATTGATCAGTTAGTTTAGAAACGGTAGCAATTTGAAATTTTCAAAAGTTAAAAATTTTATACTATCATATTTGTGATGAAAATTTTTCATATTTGTGATGAAATTTTGCTGTTGCAGCCGCTTCAAAGATTTCACTACACAGTAAAAAATTTTTCGTCATGGCGTCAAAAACTTGTGTGTTAAGTTAAAAATTTAACAATTTTTTGTGTTAATTTTCTTAAATCAAATGATGCAAAATTTTTTACTGCGTAGCTTTCAGAAACGACGAGAAATCTACTTCCAATATTCTGCTACCGAATTGCTTTTTTTTTTCTCAATGTCATAATAACGATGCGATGCTTAATAATGATGTTTTTTACAAATCTTGATAAAATTGAACATTATTGCAGATCACACATCATGCAGCAGCTTATTTTTCGAAAAAACTGATAAACTTGGAGGATATCTCATAAAAGTTGGTGCCATTAAATTATCTCCGTTTGTGTCATACAAATTAACCAACGGAACCACTACTTTTGAAGGTTACGATTATGAAGTAATAAAGCTGATCTTAGAGAAGTTGAACGCAACCACGGTCTATAATATTCCCACTGTGATAGATGAACTTGGCAACACAACCACCGGTGGTGTATTTTGGCTAATCACACAAAAAAAAATTGATTTACTAATGACTTCCTTGATAGCGAGAGGCACCTTACACAAAGCTGAATTGACATATCCATACTTCGAATCAAAGATCTCAGTGATTTCTCAGCAACGCAAGTTCAATAAGCTTGGTGGACATCTATTCGCTTTTCTCCCCTCATCGATAGCAGCCTTGTTCTTCATCACAAGTACTCTGGTCTTTATCCTTCTGCGAATCGTGTTCAACGACCCGTACTCAAGGCACATCTTTGATATTCTTCGCGTCTTCTTGAATATTGCGTTGCCCACATTGCCATTCACTTCTCGAGGACGAATAATCTTCGGTGTAACACTAGTAAGCTTCTCAATTGCCAATATCGTAATCCAAGCGAATATGAACACAGTTCTAACATCAAAAAATGCAGCTAGAAATATTGAAAGTTTTAAGGATTTAAAAGAGCTTAACTACGAAGTTTGTGCTCCTCCTTTTATTAAGCCTGTGTTGATCAATGATGATCTAAAGAAAGTTAAAATAGTATCTAAAAACATGCACTGCTCAGAGTTGAAAAAGAATGAAGCTTTTGTGGGCAAAGAATACATCCTCCGAACGATTATGACTAAAACCTGTCACTTGTCTAAAAAACCACTGGTGTCTGGAATGTTCAATGCTTACTATACTCGACGAAATTGGCCGATATTTCCCAAAATTACTAAACAATTGTTAATTTTATTCGAAGCAGGCATGAGTAATTATCATATCGAGCATGTTTTGAGAAATTATCAGCGTTCGAAATCTCAAGAACCTGAGCAGTATCAAGTGATATCAATGGATCACATGAGCTTTACATTCAGTATTTTCGTTGCTCTTTCTTTGGTATCATTAATTATTTTCTTTGTCGAATTGAACTTTGAGCGGTTACGGAAGACTGTTTTTAGTCTTTTTTGACAAAGTTTTTTGTAAAGAATCGAACAATCCTTGAGGAAGATAGTTAATCAAGATTCTGTATCTAGATTAGTGCCGGACCTAAGCAAGATTTTGAAAGCAAGAATCGATAAATAGTATATTAAACTATAAATGTCTAAATCGCCATGCATTTACTTAATCAAGAATTTTGAGCCAGAAGGCTTGTTCCAAATTGTTACTAAATTTTGTCTTTGTTTCTTAGAGTTTTCTTAACACAATTAATTCTTGAAAATCCATAGAGTTCAAGGATGAAAGAGTTACGCAGTCACGGTCATTTTATCTAACGGTAGCACGGCGTGATGATAGATATCAAAATTACAACGTGTTTGCGTGATTTCTGTAAGCTACAATTACACTTTTTTCACGCTATGAAGATTAATGGATAAAAAAAAATTCAAAATCAAGCACATATTATCTATGTTTCTACAAAATAATCTTTCTTTTTTCCACCTGATTATAAATCAAAAGTCTGCCATGATCAATTTTCAATCGTCCGTTTAATCGTCAAGCAAACTTTTGTAATCATCAATAATTTTCTCTATATTTTCCGCTTGCGTGACAAACAACAAGCAACAAGTACTTAATAGCATAAGTAATAGAATTTCTGCAAGCTATTGGGTGCGCCATTTGATGTTTTAGTTTGCATCAGGTAGCATCGAGAGAAACAATAAATTAGTCTAACACAAATGTTAAAACTAATATTTTGTATTATTTGCATAATATCTTCGTATACTTACTGTGTTTATGCATATTACACAAACATTCCAACACCGTCAGTTAAAATGGACGATCGAATCAATTTCACGGTAAGCTAGATCTTGTTTATGTTCTATTTGGTGTGAATTATTGATATCATTACATTTCCAAACTAATCTCATTCAGCATCTGTTTCCGGGCATAAAAGCAAGCTTATTGATTAGTGACTCACCTGCGAATGCTCTGTATATTGATTTCCATAAGACGATGATTGCATCAGTGACGCTGCTTGACAAATCGAACAACTACAGCACCCCGAAGAATCAAAACACTCCGGTTCCTTGTGTTGTTATGATTCTGACATCACCAACTAAAGTAACTGACGTTCTTATGAACGAAACATGGCGGGGATTTGGCCAGTTCTTTGTAATTATTGATGGTGCAAGCGATGGATGTTCCAATGCTCAATCATTCTTGAAGGAAGCTTGGAAAAATGACGTAATTAACACTATTTTTCTGTGCTGGGACCAGGTTTATAAGCTGTTTAGCTACAATCCGTTCAGTGAATTCGCACCTGCTTCATGGCAGAAGGTTGATGAAGTTCAGAAGGCTGATAGTCGCTGGACGATGTTCAGCCAAAACTTCAGTGGAGGTAAGTGATTTGATTCCTTATAGTATTAATAATTGGTGTTTTTACTTCATGTGCTAACTAAAAAATGCCCTTTTCAGATTACGTGACCCAAAGAAATTTGTTCTTTGACAAGACTCGAGATCTTCAAGGACACCCTGTTAGAGTAAGTTTTTCTGCTATTCCTCCCTACATAGTAAGTAAGGTCAAAAATGAAATAAAGACTGCTGAAGGCTTTGATTATGAAATGATCAGATTTGTGATGAATAAGCTGAACGCGACCCTTGTGTTCAATGATGTCCTCAAAGTTATAGGCCAGTTTGACAACGCAACTAGCAAGGGATTGTTATGGCAAGTTGGTAGTGGAAGAATAGATCTGGCGATGGATTCGTTGTTCCTGAGGAACACTGACAAAAAAGCAGAGTTCACATATCCGATCCATCACTTCGACTTGTCCGTGATTACAGAATACCGCGAATTGACTGTCTTTGCTGGGAGATTGTTTTCTTTTCTGCCCTTGTCGATAGTTGCGCTTCTCTTGGGCACGAGTCTCTCGATCTTTGTTCTGCAAAGATACATCCTAAAACAGCCGTTCTCTAGGAATATCATTGACACCATCCGTGTCTTCCTAAGCTTACCATTGCCTAGCTTACCGCTGGAAATTCGCGGAAAGATAATGTTTTTATGTACAATACTTGGTTTTATGATTGCCAACAATATCATACAAGCGAATATGAACACAGTTTTGAGTTCTAAAAGCACAGCGCGAGCTATAGAAAACATTGAAGATTTGAATAGATTTAACTACAGTGTCCTAGCTGGGGAAGCAAGTACCCCAGCTTTGAAGCGCATTGGCATAAAGAATGTTGAGCTCATTATTGGAGCTGTAAACTGCTCCCAGCTTCAAGAAAATCAGGCGTTTGGTGGAAAGGTGTTGGTCCTTCAGACGTTGATGACCGAAAACTGTCATATGCTGAAGAAGCCTGTAATATCAGGGATCTTCTGTACATACTACACCCGTCGCAATTGGCCTATATTTCCGCAATTTAATAAGAAACTTTCAATGTTGTTCGAAGGCGGTTTTACGGGTCATGAAATCAAAAGAATACTAAAGAAATACAAACAGTCAAGGCGTAAGGAGCCTGATCACTATCAAGTGATAACGATGGATCACATGGAAAACATTATTTACATTTTTATTGTCAGTAATTTTGTTTCGGTGATTGTATTCTTTTTGGAATTGTGTTTTGCGAAAGTAATGGATGATCATTTAAATTTTTTTAAATTTATAAAGGAATAAAGTTATTTGGAGGTGAAAACTAGGTAATTTTTTTTTTAGTTGTTCCAAATCAATTTATGGGGAAATGATTTTAAAATTATTGAATATTGTTACATGTAATTATATCTGGTTATATATGACTACTTATATATGATTATACATAATTAGACCTGGCCAATTTTAAGATCTAATTATATATAAAGTCATATATAATTGTATATGATAAGGCAAAATTATTTTTTCCCGGGTAATCAGATCTCATAGTTCTTTAGAGGTTAATTATTTAAATACATCCATATATAATTCATATAAATAATTCTATCAATTCAATTTAGAAAAATTGATGCAAAATTATATCTTGTAATCCTGTAATACATATAATTAGATCCAGTAATATTTTCAGGTTAATTATTTAATAAAGACTAGACTATCTTTGTAAATATGACACCAAACAACCAAAAATTGATGATAAACACTCCGGTAAGATGAAATATATTAGAAACAAACGTTACAGACTGGCGCTACTATCGTGTTCTGTTTCTTTATCATGATACAACTTATTGTATATTAACTTATTAAATTAGATCAATGTCAATTATTCCGCAATGAATTAATTTTTCTGCAACCGATGTTGCGTAGAGGAGATGTACGACAAAATTATTTAAGGCTTCCAACTAGCCATCTTGCTTTTTACGATAAGTCATTTATCGTATCAGCAATACGCGTTTGGAATACATTACCACTAAATCTTGATACTTTTTAATATATTACATACCTAGGCCAGTAAAATAAGAAAAGTCTCAGATCACATGTAATTGTTGGCCGAGGCGAAGCCGAGGTTGACAAACATGTGATCTGAGGCTTTACTTTTTACTGGCCAAGGTGTGTATACTATTTTTCTGCTCGATGTAGCCGGAATGTGGCAACTTTGTTTAGCGCAGCGGCCAGAAAGTTGCCACTTTCCAGCCGGAGGGCATAAAAATAAATTTCGTAACGCTGCATTCAACTATTTTCGTAGTTAAGAATCGATTAATTAAGAAACTATGTAGTTATTTCTGATCTGGAGCTGATTAAATTACTTTAATGTAACTTATTAAATTTATACTTTATATTTATACTAGTATTAATATTATGTATTAAACTAATGTAAAAATGTATTTGTTCTTATGTATGGCCACAAGGGATTACGATCTCATGGTCTAATAAATAATATATCTATCTATCTAAGTAATGAGGATTAGTATATCAACAAAACACTTAATAAAATTACTAATTACATAAAATTTTTTTCACTATACTAAGAGCCAGTTTTTTAACCCAGGGTTAAATTATTTCAATCATTGTAAATACATCTCTATATATGAAATATATAGGTATATTCACAGTGATAAAATAATTAAACTCTACCCTCGCGGTTTTTGAAATACCGTAAATTTTCGGTATTAACGGTATTTCTGTGGTTATATTAGCCAGTTTTTTTACGATAGTTATACAGCATTTCTACCGTATTTTTGCTGCAAAGTTCAGGAATAATACGACAAAATTACCGTAAAACTCTTGAACTTTTACCGTAAAAAACCTAAGTAATAACTATAATATTACTATAATTTTACAATAATAAAAATACCGAAGATATACTGCAATTTTGCCGCGTTTATACTGATATAATTAAAGATGTAATGCTTTCTACTGTAAGATGGATGGTGGTGTTTATTACTCGGTGGGTCTTATTAGGTGACCAAATAAATAGTTACGGATAGTGTCTCAAATAGCTCAACTGGTCGAGCCTTTGGGGCGTAAAGGGCCATTCATTAATTATGTAAGGGTATTGAGGGAGCGGGGGAGGGGTTATGAAAATCTCTACATGTACTTATGTTGGGGGGAAGGGGGGTGAAATTCATTCTTACGTAATATTTCGTGAATCAAAATTTAATATTAAAAATCTAATCCTCTTTTGGATTCCAAATACACGGAAAGAACAATAACTCACTGTACATACTCATAAAGTATACTCCGTGGTATTCATAGTGAAAAAAATTTCAAACTATATATAGTCAATATCTTTTAAAGTATACTGCATGAGTTTTTAACTGTACTCCGTGAAGTTTCCTATTTAACCGAGTATACTTTAAAGGATATTGACTATAGTTTGAAATTTTTTTTACTATGCATACCACCCAGTGAGTTGTTGTTTTTTCCGTGTAGTTTTCATAATTTTAAAGAGTACAGTCAAATTTTTATTTTATTTAAATAATTTTCGTTGCTATTGGAAAAAAATAACTTATTAATAACAATAACAATAATAACAATAATAATAATAATAATAATAATAATAATAATAATAATAATAATAATAATAATAATAATAAGCGGTGCTTG